GCGCAGCGTAGCGGACCGCAAATGGTCACAGAAAATGGGGGCAGCCGCATGGACCATGGAGGTACGAGCGACCTCCATGACCAAGCCAATGCGACGCTTAGCAACCCCATTTTGCTGCGGAGAGGCCGGAAGCGTGAACGTCTGGAGAATGCCCTCCCCACGACAAAAGCTCTGCAGAAGGTCGGAGGAAAACTCTCCACCTCTGTCAGAGTGCAGACGCAGGACGGGAAACTCCGTCCCGAACCGCTCGCGGAGCTGGAGACGGGCAGCGCGGATCCAAGGGATCAAAACATTAGGGACCTCACCCCTGGTGCGCAAGGGGAAGACCGTGGTGTAGCGCGAGTAGTCGTCAACAACCAGCAGGAAGTACCGCTCGCGGTCCTATCCACGGACGCGGGCTGGGCCCCAGACGTCCATGTGCAGGGTCTGCAGGGGAGCAGTCGTCGGGGGGAAGGAGGAGGAGTGAGGAGCAGAGCGCTGCCGCCCCTCGACACAGGGAAGGCAGGGAGGGGCAGGGGAGGGTGGGAGAGGAGGGAGAACCCTGGGAAGACCAGAGACAAGGACATGACGGTGCATGCCACGAAGGCGCTGCACCGAGGGGTGACCAAGTCGGTGGTGCCAAAGGACGCTTTGGTGCGACAGAGCGCGAGACGAGCAGGGGGCCGCTAGCTGACCTGACACAACCGCAGGCGCAGACGCAGCTACCTGAGGGGACGCAGTAGTCAGTGTGTACAGACTCGAGCCAGGCGCTCAGGTGAACGTGGTCCGGTGCCGTCCAGTCTAGGAGCACGTACAGTGGTTCACACGCTGACCTCCAGGAGTGAAGTGGTCAACCCACTGGTCCTGGAGGTCAGCTCCACTCACCAAGTTCGTAGAGAACGAGGGGAGGCGAAGACCTGACAGTGAGCCAGACGGAACCGCCGGACACGGCAGAACCGTGTAGGAGTGTGCAAGGACTGGGCCCCCAGAGGGGTCAGCCAGGGAGACTGCAACCGGCTGACTGAGCGGCGTGAGTGTGGTGCAGTCGCGAAAGAAGGAGCGGAAAGCTCCTGAGTCAAGTGTGAAGGTGTGCAAGGCCTCAGCAGGCGCAGTACCAGAGAGAGCAGACTCACCAGCACCTGGAGCAGTAGACTCACTAGCGCCTAGAGCAGCAGCCTCACCGGCACCTGGAGCAGTAGACGCACCAGCACCTAGAGCAGCAGCCTCACCGGCACCTAGAGCAGCAGACTCTTTACCTGGGTCAGGCGGCACACACTGGTAACAAGCACCCGCAACACTAGTAGGTAATGCATACATGGCAGTGATGATAGCATCAAAGTCAAGAGCAAAGATATCCACCCTCCGCCTAAGCAGCTCCAGCCAGGAGGGGAGCTCAGCGTCGTCGCCAAACTCGGTACACCAGGCGTTGCTCAGACAGGCGAAGCAGCGGGACTGTGTATGACCAACCGTCCCGCAAGTCTGACCAGCCCGATCACTTGTGCGAATGACGTACGGGCAGCGAACAGTACTCAGAGACCCTCTACTCTGAGCATACCACTCACGAAGCTGCTGGGGCGTAAGGGTCTCGCTCGGACGCCGCTGCAGCTGCATCTAGTCAATGCAAGAAGCTCCCGATTGCCGCGACAGCGGCTGCAGGGCAGGGCCGCGAAGGCGGCTGCAGTCAGGGCCAAGACAACGGCTGCAGTCAGGGCCGCGACAACGGCTGCAGGGCAGGGCAGGGCCGCAAAGGCGGCAGGGCAGGGCCGCAAAGGCGGCAGGGCAGGGCCACGACGGCGGCAGGGCAGGGCCGCGAAGGCGGCTGCAGTCAGGGCCCCGACAGCGGCTGCAGGGCAGGGCCGCGACGGCTGCTGCAGGCGCTCGACGGCAGGGCCGCAACGACAGGGCCGCGACGGCAGGGCAGGCGCAAGGGCGCAGGTGAAGCAGGCGCGAGGCGCGCGCCTGGGCAGGCAGGCACGGCGGCGCGCGTCGGGCAGGGCAGGAAAAAAAAATCTGTGGTGAGCCCTATAAAAACGTTCCCATTAGGGAACCTTCTCTGAAACCATGTGAAAATAGAACGAGGAATGAATGAACTAGCAAGCAGGTGGGTACAAGTACGAAAACCTAAAAGTGTTGTACCCCATATTGTATGCCCCACTACAGCCTACACAGACTATGTCATATAACTTTGACACCGAAGCCCTGCGCACCACGCATCCTACGTGCTGTATTGAGCGACTTCGCAGAACGAACTCCAGGTTACGGTTGGCCTCGAGGGCCTTTCTCCTTGCGACAGTGGCTCGTAGGCGCTCGGCTATGTTACCATAACTCGCCACCAGTCCATGGCGGGCCCGCGCAGCACGGACACGGCGTACCGAATCTTCAATCCATCCGACATGACATATTTTACGTCAAAAATACGTTCATCGTGGAACACCCACGATTGAACCGTCTGACCTCCACGCTGACTAGGATCAAAACAAGGAGGGCGGCTTGAGTGGCATTGGCTCACCAATGTCGTTGCTGCCAATGGGTGCCGCAATACCCACATGACGACGGGCTTCGCGAAATATGTTTACGCCCGGTGCCTCCATGGTGTGTTCCATGCCTGGCATAGACTGGCCGGTGCCATCACGAAGGGCGTGCGTGATTTTGGAGATTGGCTAAGTTTGCATTTTTTTTTTTTTAATGTATCATTTAAACTTGAGCTGAAGTGCTCGAATTCCGCTGAACGTGAAGTTTGAACCGCGCATAACATTTTCAGGCAGGTCAAATCACACACCCAAGGTCGAATTTGAATATTCGACCTTATAGGGGGTGCGCTGAGCCGCTCGTAGGGGATGTAGGGTACCAGGTATAATTCTGTAGACATCACGCCACGTCAACATACTGACTGTGGTTTTCGGCGGAGGTTTTATTGCGTCGCGGAGGTTTCGCAAAATTCACCACTCCTCGTACGTGCGCAAAACAACACACGTTCGGTTCACTGTACGCGCCCACTTTTATGCATTGACTCGAGTCGAGTTCGGAAAAGTTAGGTCGCATTTGCCATGTGTTCAAAGGGAACGTATTTCGTCACACAGTTTTTGTGAAATTAACGAAGCTGGTAACCAGACAAGATTCGACCTGTTTTTCGAACCTATAATAAAACCACACACGCCCTAATTGCGCCTGAGCGTTGTCCCACGCTATCTTGTTGCGATGTCGTTCCCGAAGAGATGACGATCGGCTAATCAGATTGTGCAGGTGCATTTGCTGTTGCCTAGTGCATTTGCTATTGATTACTGAAGCACGGAGTCGTGTTCTGCCATTAATGTTGCGATTTCAACCGCCGCCCCGTGCAGGTGGCGCACGATTTCGTCGAGGCATTCCTACGTCAGGCCTTCGAGCAGAATGCGATTGATTTCGTCCATGGCGAGGGCGCCGGGCTAGCTCAGCGAGAGCCTCAGTCGCGCCTTATGAGAGATCACACAAGGAGCGGTGCTTGGTCGCTGAGAGACGTCTATCCCCCCCGAAAAAATTGAGATAGTCGGGGAAGCGAAGATGTGGGCGCGGTCCGAAAAAAGGGTCGTGGCTCTGAATACCAAGTGTTACGAGTGTAATTGAATGAGCGAACGAAGATTGCATCATCGAAGCCAAACCATTACATTTTGAGGGAAAGAGCGAAATTAATATAGCGAACTAGCGTGATAACGGCAACGATCGAGTCGTGTGGTGCGCGACGGGCCTGGTGCCGAGGTTGGGAATTGCAGAGGCGGAGGATCGGAGCGCGTATTACCAACCAAGCCATGAGGTTGGGTCGCAATGTGAACAGTGGCGGGAACAGTAGTCGAGGCGATTGGTAACGGTTTACTGTTGGGTATTGTTGGCGGGAACAGTTGTGTACGCGGTAAGCAGGGGCGCGAAGTAAGGAAAATGATTTTTCCTTAGACATAAGAAGTGGTAGGTGGGACGTGTTCCGCAAGGATGGCCTATGTGATCCTCAAAATGCAGCGTTCTTTGGTTGGGTGCAACGCCCTCTAAACCGTGGTATACTTCGTGTGCATTTGTCGTGTGGTGGGCATTTGCCTGCGACGTCTCTGGGGTTCGGTTACAATCACCAGCGCGCTAAACCAAAGCACTCCAACCAATCCTCTCGCTTGCTAGAACTTCGCGAAAGAGGTGTACTTTGACTGCCGCACCAACCAGCAGCGACTTGGCTAGCCTCAGGCGCCAGTGGGATGGGAACAGAGGCAGCGCAGTATGGGTAGGTAGATCCCCTCCCCAGGTAGGTGTGTTGGGTCGCCTTGCTGATGGGTTTTTCGCCACACCACCCCGCATTCGGAGACATGTGACAGGGTTTCGATTCGACTTCTCCCCAATTACATCCAGAGGAAATTCCTCTGTCGCGGGCAAAGTTGAATCTGGAGCCAGAGGGAAGAGCGCGTGAGTAGAGCAGGAAAAGCACATCGCGTTGCGAGGAAGGTTGTTCTGTGAGGAAGGCGTGAGTGTACAGGATGAGCGACGGGTCAGGAGGACTCGGGAGCAGATTGAACCATATCTCTCTGAGGTTGAGTGAGGGGCTGTCGAAACCCTGGGCTCATTCTTTCGTGAAGCGGAAATTCCGTCACGCGCATCACGTGACGATGCAGTGTAGCGGCCTTTCTTTTTTGGGCCAACCTAGGTCACACAGACCACGAAGATTAGGACTTATCTCGATGAAATGGCTGCCAATGTTGTGTTACTACTTGTCATTTTCCAATAGACCACAACTGATTAGGGCGGAACCGGTGTAACTGCCACCGCAACTCCTACTCAGCACCTGCTTTCTCCAATGGCGGAGGCGCCACCCTTCTTGCTATTCCATCCTATTAAGGTGGGCCGTCAGAGTTGCGTCCCTACCACCCTCTGCTCACTTCGTTCGCCGCCTCGCGCACGCCCACCCTCCACGTATCGTGACCCGCCCTGCCGTTCTGCCGGCGGCCTTCTCATCTATCTGTACGCTCGTCGCATGATCGCAGGTGGGCGACGTGCACGCGGCGGAGATGGACCGCCTGCGACTCGACCTGTGGGCGGCGCGCATAGAGTGCAGCGAGTTAAGGGGTCAACTAGAGGTGCGTCATGGCAGGCGCTGCCGTGCCTTGCGGTGCAAACCTTCGCTGGTCCCGCCCTGATCCTCACGCCGTCACTGCCCGTCGTCCTCCCGCGTGGCCCATCCTCCTGCCCCTTTCCACCCCCGCCATCCTCCTCCCATCCCCACCGGGCCTGCCTCCCTTTCCCTCCCCGGGCGGGGCTTGCAGGCGCGGTCGGAGCGCGTGCTGGAGGAGGAGCGCCTGGCGGGCGCGAGGGGTGCGCGCGAGGAGGCGCAGCGCCAGGTGGAGGAGGCGAGGGGCGAGGCGGCGGCGGCGAGGCGGGAGGCGGAGCGAGCGAGGCAGTACCACGAGGAGGAGGTGGCCGTGCTGCTCGGCGCGCACCGCGACAAGGAGGCGCTCTGGCAGCGCAAGGTAGCCGCGGGGAGCAAGGCAGCCACGGGGGGCAAGGTAGCCGCGGGGGGCAAGGTAGGCGCGGGGAGCAAGGTAGCCACGGGGGGCAAGGTAGCCACGGGGGGCAAGGTAGCCACGGGGGGCAAGGTAGCCACGGGGGGCAAGGTAGCCGCGGGGGGCAAGGTAGCCGCGGGGAGCAAGGCAGCCGCGGGGAGCAAGGTAGCCGCGGGGAGCAAGGTAGCCGCGGGGAGCAAGGTAGCCACGGGAAGCAAGGTAGCCGCGGGGAGCAAAGTAGCCGCGGGGAGCAAAGTAGCCGCGGGGAGCAAAGTAGCCGCGGGGAGCAAAGTAGCCGCGGGGAGCAAGGTAGCCGCGGGGAGCAAAGTAGCCGCGGGGAGCAAGGTAGCAGAGCCCGTGCAGGAGTGAGCGTGGAGTGTGTGGTGGGTGCAGCATGGCAGGGGTAACGCCCCAGGGCCTACCTGCAAGCCGTGCGTCATGCACGCCTGAGCAGCTTGTGGAGCAGAGCAGCCTCTCCTCACGCTGTGCCTTGTCTCCCCATGGCCTCTTCACATGCGCCTCACCGTCTCTCGCTGCCTCTTGCGCCCACTGCCTGTGTGCGCCCATCCCCTGGTCACTCTGTGCACACTCGCGCGCGTGTGTGCGGCGCGGCAGGAGGTGGAGTTGGAGCACGAGCTGCGCCACCTGCGCCACCGACTGGCAGACGCACGCAACGGTCAGTGCCGTCACTCTCACCTGCCCCATGCCTTCTCACCCTGCCACCACGCGCTACCCCCTCGTGCCCTCGCCCGCCATCAATCCCACCGTGTCCTCCTTGACTACTGCTCATCCGTCCAACGCGCGTTCTTCCCCCCCTCCCCTCCCCCTCTTGCATCATCCCTGCAGCGCTGTGTGTGGCGGAGGCATGTGCGCAGGGCGCGCGGGAGGACGGCAGCAGTGCCACGGCCCTGCTGCGCGGGCAGCTGGCGGGGGCGCTGCGGGCTGCGGCGGAGCGGGAGAGGGATCAGGAGGAGGCGATGCAGTGCGTGGATGGCGAGCTGGCGCGGCTGCAGGGGCAGGCGGACGCCGCCGCGCAGCGCGAGGAGCTGGCGGCGGCGCTGATCGACCGCCTGCATGCGGAGAACAAGGCGCTCAGAGGCGCGCTGCATGCTGCACACGCGGGCGGGCGTGGCAGCATGGTGGCGAGCAGGGGGCGCGTGGAGCTGGAATGCAGCAGATTGCAGGCAGCACAGGGCGAGGGTGGAGACGTGGGGCAAGGGAGGTCCGTGCAGCAGGTCCCAGGAGGAGTGGTGCGGCGAGATATGGTTGAATCCAGAAGATCACAGGCCCCACATCCTGATGACACTGGCCGTGGCGGTGGAGGTGGTGGTGCAGGGGGTGCAGAGGAAGCAAGGCGTGGCTGTGACGACCGGGGTGGAGCTGGTGGAGCGCATGGTGGGCAGGCTGCGGCAGGTGCAGGGGGGTCAAGGCGAGCAGGGGGGGCAGAGTTGCAGACCGGCAGCAGGGAGTGGAGGGAGGGGGATTTGTGTGGTGGTGCATTTAATCGGGGAGCGTGGCTGAGTGCTGTGGAGGGGGAAGAGCCTGAAGGCCCACCGGAGCAGTGGCGTGAGAGTGGTGGCAGTGAGCAGTGTGCGGCACACGCTGACAGCGCTTGCGGCATGGAGGAGCAGTGCGGCGGCGAGTACGAGTCGACGTTCACGCTGCCGGTGCCCCGGCAGGGCGCGTGGAGCCGCGCCAAGGAGGCGGCGGCGCTGTACTATGCGGGGATAGCAGGTGAGGAGGGCGAGCAGGAGCAGCGGGAGAGGCAGCTGGAGGAGGTGCTGGCGGAGAACGCACGGCTGGAGGAGCAGCTCAGAGCGTTGCAGGCGCAGGTGGCGGGGGCACAGCGCGCGGTGGCATGGCAGGGGCGGCTGCGGCAGCGCGTGCTGCAGCTGCGGGTGTGTCTGGAGCTGACGAGCAAGGTGGTGGACGTGAAGGACCGTGCCCTGGAGCTCGCCGTGCACCGCGCCCGCTCCGCTGAGGCCCGCTGCGCCCACCTGGACCGCCACCTGCTGCCTTCTGTGAGCACTGCTGCCCCCGCTGCCCTGTGCGAGTGCGGCAGCCCCCAAGCTGCGAAAGGGGCAGATGGCTGTGAGGGCATTGTGGATGCGGGGCTGCAGAGAAGGTGCGCGGTGGCGGCGACTGGGACTGTGGGCGAGGATGCGCCAGGGGTGCAGCACGGAGGCGAGGCAGGTGCGGCGTCAAGGCATCGGGAGGGTGGCGCCCAGGAGGAGGGCAGGCTGGATGGCGCAGAGGAGGCGGGCGTGTCAGTGCCGGAGGCGGGTGGTGAGCAGTGCGTGGTGGCGACGGTGTCCACCAGCAGCTCAGGCCGGGCCGGCATGCGTCGCAGGAGCAGGGCGCACATGCAAGGCGGCAGTGAGGCGAGCGGAGAGGAAGAGGAGTGGCCAGCGGTGGGGCTGCAGGAGCTGCAAGCGAGGCGGGACGCGCTGCTAATCGCCATGCACGGGCTGCGGGAGCGCGCAGCCCTGGCTGCAGAGATGCGGCTACGAGCGGCAGCGGTGATGGGGCGCAAGGGCAAGGACAAGCGCGGGGAGGTGAGGGAGATGCTGGCAGCGGTGGAGAGCGAGGCAGACGAGGCGCGTGTGCTGATTGAACGCTCAGAGAGGGTGGTGGCCAGGATGGCCACACTGGAGCGACGAGGAAAGGTCCTGGAACGCAAGATTGAGGGTACATTCCTGCGGGGACACTTGTGTCTCAATCACTTTGTGACATCTAAAAACAGCATATACCGTGCCCTGTCACAAAAGCGGATCGCGCTTATGCGAGTCCCACTATATTTTACATTGGTTGGCGTGAATTGCGCTTGTGTCGCGGACGAGTTACACGAGGCCCCGTCACATCCCGAAAATCGCACGCGTGTCGAAATCTCACACTGTACAGCATGCACCTGGACGCCCGAACTGGGCACGTTTCCGCGCGGGGATGGAAACCGCTCTGCCCGGGCTGACATATGACTGGTCCTTCAGCACACACGGTCACATCCCTGCCCGAATGTTTGCCCATTGTTCCAACCACACTGACAGCACGCTCCCGCTCCAATCTGTTCTTCTTCTCCCAACCCGAGCTTCCTCTTTCTTGTTGCGAAGTCTAGCCAGGGTCTTCTTTGGCACGCTGTAGCCATGGCCCGTAAGCGCAAGAGCGTAGCTAGTTCTGTTGACTTGTGCCCGCGGGATCTCGACGAGATCCCGTACATCGCTTGGATGAACAAACAAATCGCGGCCGGCCGCAAGCCCGCCGGCCCTTTGCCCGAAGGAGCGCCTGGTGCGGGGGACACCTCGTTCGAAGCCCCGCGCGATGTCCCTACCCGCGGACGCCGTCATGCCGACCGGGTTGCCTCATCCCGCGTCAACGACGATGCTGCCTTCGATGACGATGATGACGCCGCGGACTCTGATTACAACGAGTGCGACGAGGCCTGCGAAGACGACGCGGACTCTGGTGAGGAGCAGGACAAGGGCATGTCCCCCTCCGAGGATGAAGTTGACGCCGACGAGGACGCCGATGACGACGAGGACGCTCCCGAAGAGGCCCAGCCTGCGTCCCCGGCTCCTCGTCGCGGCCGTGCGTCTGCCGCTGCGGGAACCAAGACTGCTGCTAAGGGCGGGGAACCTCCGCGTGCCACTGCCAAGACCCGTAACTTGCATCCTGTTAAGCGGAGCGTGTGGTCCCCCCGTGAGAACACAATCTTCGTGGCTGCGCGTTGGTTCATGAAGGACGAGCTCGGGCCCCTCCTCGGGAAGCAGGGCTCTCAGTACTGGGCCCGCCTCGCGCGTCACCTCGAGAAGGAGAATCCCGGTTGGGTGCGCGGTGTAAACGCGCTTCAGAAGCAGTGGCGCAATCTTGTGAACATGTACAAGCAGATCAAGAAGGGGGAAAAGGCGAGCGGCAAGGGTGCCGTGTGCAAGCCCCACTGGTACCCGTACATGGCGCTTTTCCAGAACAACAAGGCGGTGGGCAACCCTCACGCCGTCGACGGTGGCGGTGCGGCACACGTCAACGTGCCGTGCGGGTACGCGGTCCCGTCCACTTCGGCGCCCTGCACCTCTACGCCGACATTCACTGGTATGTATGTGTTGCATCAACGGTGGCACTCGCGGGTTTGTTGAATGACACATTTTGTGACAACATTTTACGCACACATTACATCATTAAAATGTTTAGGGTACATAACACCTCGTCTACTGTTCGTGTGCATCCACCGTGTGTGCAGCTCCGCCGCCACAGGGAACTCCTACATCGAAGCGCCCACGTGTGGCAGAGACGGCGATGATGGCCGCTGCAAAGCTGGTGTGCGAGACGATCAAAGGCTGCCACTCAGACGCCATGAGCAGGCTCGAAGGCCTCGTCCGCGCGTGGATGGATCAGGACGCGCGTATTGCTCGGGAACGCGTGCAGCAGCCCGCACCCTCCCCGCATGTCCGCGACGACATCCCTGCCACGCGGACAACATGACCGACTCGCACGCCGCCGAAGGCGGCGACGACGGCTGGCTTCGTCGCGGGCAGGCGGGCGAAGACCCCTCTAACCCAGATGCGGGTGAGGAGGTGTGGGTCCGCGGCGCCGCCGAGTGAGGTAAGACGACTCCAGAGCCTCGCCCAGCCGCTTGCGCCTTTCACGAAGATTCTCTTGCGTGCATGGGTCACATGGCTCCCACATGAACTCTGCTACCGCGCCACGAGTCCACCATGGGTCCCGGTTTCGGGGCAAGTTTGCCCACGATGCATTGACGCGCCTTACTGCGCCCATCATTTCGCACATGTTGTGCAGGATGACGCCACAAGACGCCCCTGCAAGAATGCGCCAGAGCTTGCAGTCATTGCGGCCCGCGAATAGACGCCACCGGCCTTTGAAGGCGCCGATGCAGCGCTCTACTGCCATGCGCGTTGCGCTTTGGCAATAGTTAAAGCACTGCTCCCAGTCCTCCATTAGGCCTTCACGGGGAGCATGTAGGGGGGTCAGGCAGAAGTCTCTGAGTGGGTAGGCAGCATCTCCCACTATTTGGTATGGCGCTATGTCGCCGTTGTACAACCTTTCGTGTAACGCGCTGTTCATGAACACTCTCTGATCGTGCGCACTGCCCGGGTATCCGATCAAATAGTCCCATATGATGCCTCGCGCGTCGCATGTGATCTGCAACTGGACGGCGTAACAGGACTTCCGCGTGTAGTACTCTTGCCTGTGCCCCTCCATCCCCTTCATGGGTATGTGTGTGCCGTCTATAGCCCCCACTACCGCAGGTACCCCCTTGATGGCGCGGAACTCTGCGGCCATCTCGTCGAGGTCGTCGCGGGTCGGGAAGTGGACCCACTGCTGCTTGAAGACGGACGGGAAATGCATGAGGAGCGCGTCAACAAGCATGTGGCACAGGGTCTTGGACAGCCCGAACACGAAGGACAAGTCTACGAAAGACATGCCACTTGCGAGGTATTTGATAGGTACAAGGCATGCCACTTCATGACTGATTAGGTACCTGTCCACGTACGGTTGCATGTAGTGCGTCATCCCGGCGACAATGTATTCGAGAATGCCACGGTTTATGCGAAACATATCTCTGAACTGATCCTCCCCCATGCCGTCCAGGTCCTCTAGCAGCAACTGGTATCTCCGCCGGCGTAGCCCAGCCCTTCGTTTCCGCTCTGCGGTACGGTTGGAGGCGCGAGAGCTGGATGACGAGGACACCTCGTCATTGAAGACGTTCGCCTCCAGCAAGCCACCGACCGACTTGGCGATTGCGTCCATGAATATGCTGTAGTAGAACGTAACCCATGCGACAAGTAGGCGCATGAGGAATGGCACCTCGCGGGGCGATGCCATGGTTGCTAGACAGTGGTGCAGTTTAGCTCTGTGATGCTTGCGTTTTTGTACTTGGAGTCGTGGTTGTATACATGCTGTTGTGTGTGGGGTGGCCCAAATTGCAACTTTCATTTCTGTGGCAAGCCCACCGCGATACTCGAGGTGGTGCGATATGTTTAGCCCCCCTGCCCGGCGGGAAAACTGGGTGGGCACAATCCTATTGGTCGCAACCAATAGTACGCACCCACCTGGCTGTGCCCATCTGTCGCGCAGGGTCGCGATACATTGGTTGTTTGTGACACAACATTTGGCAAATTTACAGGCGCGACTCGGGAAAACGGGGATTGAGACACAAGTGTCCTCACAAATGTGTCATCGCGCGTGGGCTGTGTCGCTGTCGCGCGCCTCTCATTTCCGCTCGCCCCATATTTCCGCCGACAACCGCGCCCTGCCCTTCCGCCTCCGCTCCTCTCTCCCTTTATTCCCTCTACGACCGTCTTCTTTCCCCCGCCTCTTCCCTCACCTCGGCTGCAGCAGCTGGTTGCTGATTTCGTGTGGTAGCTGCACCATCCGCCCCTTCACCCTCCTCCTCCTCTCCTCTCTCCCTTCATTCCCCTCCCCATCTCTCTCTCTCTCCTCCGCCCCTCACCTGTCCTCTACTGCTTCCGCTGGTTGCCGGCTTTGCTTCGTGGCCCTGCTCATCGAGACCCACCCCTCCACATCATCCGCCTCTTCACCCTCCTCCTCCTTTTCTCTCTACCTTCATCCCCTCCTCATCTCCCTCTCTCCTCCGCCTCTCTCCTCTCCCCAACTGCTGCAGCTGGTTACCGGCCTTGCTTCGTCGTCGTGCTCCTTCACCACTCTTTTCCTCCTCCTCTAGATTCTTCCCTCAGCTGCTTGGCAGCAGTCTACTCCGCCGATAATCCTCCGCCTCTTGTTTCTCCCCTCAGCGGCGCGGCAGCAGACTACTCCGCTGTTATCCCTCCTCTTATTTCTCCCCTCAGCGGCGCAGCAGCAGACTACTCCACAGCTATCCCTCCTTCTCTTATTTCTCCCCTCAGCGGCGCAGCAGCAGACTACTCCGTCGCTATCCCTCCTCCTCTTATTTCTCCTCTCAGCGGCGTAGCAGCAGACTACTCTGCCGCTATCCCTCCTCCTCTTATTTCTCCCCTCAGCGGCGTAGCAGCAGACTACTCCGCCGCTATCCCTCCTCCTCTTATTTCTCCCCTCAGCGGCGCAGCAGCAGACTACTCCGCCGCTATCCCTCCTCCTCTTATTTTTCCCTCAACGGCTCAGCAGCAGACTACTCCGCTGTTGGCCCTCCTCCTCTTATTTCTCCCCTCAACAGCTCAACAGCTGCTACCTCGCCCCTAATCCTCCTCCTCTTCTGTCTCCCCACATCTGCTCCATTGCTATCCCCTCGCCCTGATGGCGCCTATTCTCGCTCTTACCTCTCTTCCTCTGCGCTTCAGCCCGCACACTCATTCCACCCTACCTCCTCTCCTACCCTTGCCTTCCCTACCCTCCGCTTCCCTCGCTGCCCCTTCCTCCCCTTTCACCACCTCTCCTACTTGCCGCTGGACTCCCCTCCCTCTCCACCCCTCTGCTTGGGTTCCACTGTCCCATCGGCGTCCCCGCCTTTCTGCCCTGGACGTTCGTGCCGCTGTAACCTCTGTTATTGGTTCTCTGGCCTCTATTTTCAGTGTGACCATGCCATCTCAGGATAGCATCCTTGGTGCTTCTCCTCTTATGGACCCTCGTTTTGTCGTTCCATTTCGTCCACCTCTTCAAAACACTGCTTCTCACTCTCCTAGCCCTACAGCTGCCACTCTCTCACTTCCTCGCACCTTGGATTTTGTCCTTGACAGTGCTGCTACTGACTCTGTCTTTAGTGATGCCGCCGTCTATGCTCCCTCCTCTCAGCAGCTCATTCGCAGCCAGGATGTCATCTTTGATGAGACTCGATCTCCATTCCTCACTCCCCCTCCCACCCCACCTGCTCCCTCTCTCAACTGGTCTGACTTTGATCCGCTGCCCTCTGCTGTTCCCTCTCCTCCTCCCCTTCCTCCTGCCCCTGCTCCACCCCCCCTGCCTGCCTCCTCCACTCCCCCCTCCGCTGTCATCTCTGGCATCTCTCCTCCTGCCTCTTCATCTTCTGCTCCCATGGCCCCTCCCTCATCCCCTCCTTCTGCTACCCTCCCTTCTGCTCCTGCCCCCCCACCCTCTCCACGTATCACCCGCTCCTTGTCCCGTGCAATGTACAATTTTCAACACTCTGCTCTCTTTACTTATCTCTCTCCCTCTCCAAACGTTGATCTTCTCAAAGATCGCTTTGAGGAGCTTTTCTCTGTTCATCCTGTTTCACCCTTCCTCTGTGTCACCATTGGCGATTTCTCCAATTCTCCCACTCTTCTCTCCGTTGACACTGCCGCTATTCCCACCCCTCAGACCTATTCCGATGCAGTGTCTGGCTTTCATGCTACTGTGTGGATGGCTGCCATCATTACCGAGTGTGAGGCATTCACCAGGACTCACTCTTACGTTGACTCTGTCCCCCCCCTTGGCGCCACCATTGTGAAGGGCAAATGGGTCTTTCGTGTCAAACAGCTGCCTGGGGAGCTCCCTGTCTTCAAAGCCCGTTACTGCGCCAAAGGCTTCACCCAACGTGAAGGCATTGACTACTTTGCCACTTACTCCCCCACTGCCCGTCTCCCCACTCTTCGCCTCTTTCTTGACTTAGGTGCTCCCCACTCCTCGCCCTTTCCCTCCAGGCGCTAGCTTAGCGCCCCGATCTTGCTTACCCCCTCAGTATCCTCTCTCGCTTTGTTGGCCTTGGTCGCCACACTGACGTACACTGGGCGGTTGCCAAGCGCGTTCTCCGCTATCTCCGCGCTACCTCTGATCTTGCACTCATTCTTGGTGGTTCTTCTCCCCCTGTTCTTTCCGGTTACAGTGATTCCTCCTACGATGATTCTCGCCCTGATCGCCGCTCCTCTCAGGGTTATGGTTTTACTCTTGGCAGCGGTCCCATCAGCTGGCGCTCCACTCACTCATCCTCTGTCTGCCTTTCCACTTGCGAGGCTGAGTTGTACGCAGGCACATTGGCAGCTCAGGAGGCTCGCTGGCTCTCCTTTCTCCTTGCTGAGCTTGGTCACTCTCAGTCCTCTGTGACGCTCTCTTGTGACAGTGCGAGCATGATTCATCTCACTGAAAATCCTGTCTATCACGCCCGCAGCAAACACATTGAGGTGGCTGCTACTGCCAACCCTGCTGACATATTCACCAAAGCCCTCCTGCGTGCGCCACACCGTTTCTATGTGCGCGAGCTTGGGCTCACTCGTCTTTCCACTTCTGGGGGTGTGCCGATTCGCTAGGTGTTTTGCTCCAGAGCTTTACCTAGCCTGGGGGTGTGTTGGAGTAGGCTAGAGCTCGCTCTGGCCTTTGTTTGGGTGTTCTCTTGTCATTCCACCATGCTTAGAGCGAGATACGCTTCCAGGTTCAATTTAGGTTCATTTTGTAGCTATAGCATACACTGAACACACCCTAAGTTCAATCAGGGTTTCCAATTCCTTTCTAGACTTGTATCTCGACACTTCCTTCCTAATGCAATTTTTTCTTCTCTCACTAATTCTCTCAAGGAAGCCATGGCCTCCTCTAGCTTAACTTTAACAGAGACCGCCGCTGTCGTCGCCGCTGAGGCCCCGCCGTCGCGGACCTGCCCTGCCGCCCTGACGCGGCCCTGATCTGCCGCCGAGTCGCGGCCCTGCCATGCCGCCTTGTCGCGGCCCCTACCCTGCCGGCGCGCCACTGCGCTGCCCCACCAGTCGCGGCCTCTACCCTCTCCTCCCGCCACTGGTAAGCACACCGCCGCACCCGCGCCGCCCTGTCGAGCCTCGCCGCCCTGCCGAGCCGCGCTGCCCTGCCGAGCCGCGTGGCCCTGCCGAGTCGCGACGCCCTGCCGAGCCGCGCTGCTACTACTGCTGCTGCTGCTAGGCTACTGCTGCTGCTCCTGCTGTCATGGCTAGCCCTAATGTCCTTACCTTCGATGCTGAGGGTCGAGCAGTCGATTTCAAGGTCTGGGTCGATGATCTGCAGCTTTTCCTGCAGTGTGACTCTAGGGACGGAGTCTCACTGTTCGATCACACGTCCAGCGTCTCTGTTGCACCTGCTGCCGATGCTGACAGTGCACTCCGCTCGCAGTGGACCATGCGCGATGTTGCTGCTCGTCTTGCTGTTCGTAGTCACCTGCCGTCTGCTGAGCGCGTGCACATTAGCCAATACAAGACTGCTAAGACTCTGTACGACGCTGTTGTTGCACCCTACTCCTCCCCTGCCACTTCTGCCCTTAGCCGCCTCATGCTGCCGTACCTGTTCTCTGACCTAGCCGCTTTTGCCACTGTCGCTAACCTCATTACGCACCTCCGCACTAGTGACACCCGCTACCGCGCTGCGCTTCCTCCCGAGTTCTGCGCCAAGAACCCCCCCCCTATGTACATCACCCTCTACTACCTCGTCACCCGGCTCCTTGACTCCCTTCGCTCGGTCAGGGACCACTTCCTCTCCCTTTGCCCCACCACACTCACCTTTGACCTACTCGAGGAGCGCCTCCATGCACCCGAAAAGAGTATAGTCGCTGTAGGAGCCTCTCGTGGAGACCCTCGTGCCCCTTTCTTTGAAAGATGCTCCCCCGTCCCCCTTTTGCCGTCTGTTGCCTCTGCTGCTGCTGTCGACCTCGTTGGCACCGAGTCGGTCGGCGCTGCGTCTGCTCCTAGTCGGAGGCGCCGCAGTGGCAGGAGAAAGGGGGGCAAGGGTGCTGGAGGAGACGGCGGGGGCGGCGGTGGTGGCGGTGGAGGCGGCGGAGGGGGTGGGGGTGGAGGTGGGGTTGGTGGCGGGAGTGGGGGCTTCGACGGCGGCGGTGGAGGTGGAGGCGGTGGCGGCAGCGGCAGTGGGGGCGGGGGAGGTGGCAGCGGCGGTGGGGGTGGTGGCGGTGGTGGTGCTGGTCGGGGTGGCGCTGTGCAGCGGGGAGGTCTTGGTGGTGGCCAGCGCCAGCAGCAGCAGTGTTCTCGTGAGACCCTGTTGCCCCTGCAGCTTCGTGAGTGGTACGCTGGGTGTGGGAGGTCAGGGGATGCTGGTCCTTGTGCTTACGATCTCCGCACCGGCGAGCGCAGTGGGGAGACGTGCGGAGGACCGCACGCCACGCACCACTGTTTTGGCTGCCTGATGGACGCCTGGCGTACACAGTTTCCAGACGCCACTGAGCTCCCTCGCTGGGGTGATCTGCTTAAGTCGGGTGTTGCTATCTTTGATCTTGATTATGATGCTATCCTTGCTGCTATGTATGCTGTGACTATTAGTGCTGAGGGTGACTGTTACCTGTGTGTTCCGCCCGACCCGGGCATTGAGGCTGCTGCTCTAGGTGCTAGTGAGTGTGCTGCTCCAGGTGCTGGTGAGTCTGCTCTCTCAGGTACTGCGTCGGCTCAGGCCTTGCACACGTTCACCCTTGACTCGGGTGCTTCCCGCTCCTTCTTTCGCGACTGCACCACACTCTCGCCGCTTAGTCGGCCAGTGGCAGTCTCCCTGGCTGACCCCTCTGGGGGTCCGGTCCTTGCACACTCCACGGTTCTGCCGTGTCCGGCAGTCCCGTCTGGCTCTCTGTCTGGCCTCCACATCCCCTCGTTCTCCACGAACTTGGTGAGTGGAGCTGACCTTCAGGACGCCTGAGTTGACCAGTTCACTCCTGGAGGTCAGCGGGTGACCCACTGTTCGTGCACCCGGACGGGCCGGCACCTGGCCACGTTCTCCCATCAGCCTGGGTCGAGCCTGTACACCCTGACTACCGGGTCTCCTCCCGTTTTTGCGTCTGGTCAGGTAGCTGCGTCGACTCAGGTGTTTGCTGCAGCGTCCCGATCTGGTCCTGAGTCTGCCCCCTGCTCGTGTCGCCTCCTGTCTCACCAGACTCATCTCTGGCACCACCGCCTTGGTCACCCCTCCATGCCTCGTCTTCGAGGCATGGCCTCCCGTGTCCTTGTCACTGGTCTTCCCCGGTCTCTCCCTCCCCTTCCCCCGGGGCCTGCCCCTACCTGCGTTCCTTGCGTCAAGGGGCGGCAGCGCGCCGCTCCTCACTCCTCCGAGTTAGCTCTGACGGAGGCTCCCCTGCAGACTCTTCACATGGACGTGTGGGGCCCAGCGCGCGTCCGTGGACAGGGTCACGAACGCTACTTTCTGCTGGTCGTTGACGACTACTCGCATTACACCACAGTCTTCCCCTTGCGCCGCAAGGGTGAGGTCACTGAGATGCTGATCGACTGGATCCGCGCTGCTCGTCGTCAGCTCAGCGAGAGTTTCGGCTCGGACCTTCCTGTTCTGCGTCTGCACTCCAACAGAAGTGGAGAGTTCTCCTCTGACCTTCTAGGAGCCTTCTGCTGTGCGGAGGGCATCCGCCAGACGTTCACGCTTCCGGCCTCTCCACAGCAAAATGGGGTTGCTGAGCGCCGCATTGGCATGGTCATGGACGTTGCTCGTACGTCCATGATCCATGCGGCTGCTCCCCATTTTCTGTGGCCGTTCGCGGTTCAGTACGCTGCCATTAGCTCAACCTTCAGCCCCGGGTCTCCATGCCGGAGACCACTCCTACGCTACGGTGGACGGGAAAGGTTGGCGATGTGTCTGCGTTCCGTGTCTGGGGATCTCGAGCTTTCGTCCGTGACTTGTCTGCGGACAAGCTGTCCTCCCGTGCTATTCCCTGCGTCTTCCTTGGCTTCCCCCCTGACGCGCGTGGTTGGCAGTTTTACCACCCCACCTCGCGCCGTGTTCTGTCCTCTCAGGACGTCATGTTTGACGAGTTGGTTCCTTACTACCATCTCTTCCCCTACCGCACTGCCCCCCCTTCCCCCCCCGCCGCTCTTCCTCGCACCAAGTCCTCCTCCGGTAGACCCCCTTCCCCCTCAGGATCCTGCCACCTCAGGTGTGTCCCAGGTAGACCCTGTCAAGGTAGGTGTTGACTCTGGTGCGGCTAGGGGTGCTTAGCCTGCGGGTGCCGGGTCTAGGGGTGCTGAGCCTGAGCGTGCGGAGCCTGGGGGTGCTGCGCCTGGGGGTGCTGAGCCAAGGGTTGCTGAGTCTGGGGGTGCGGAGCCCGAGGGTGCTGATCCTGCGCGTGTGGAGTCTGGAGGTGTTGAGCCTGGAGGTCCTTCGGGTGCTTCGACCCGGCGGGAGCCGCTCTCTCCATAGCAGCCGCGCGAGTGGTTTGCTCGGCACTGGAGCCGTGCTGCTGGAGCTGGTGGTGCTACGGGCGCTGGAGGTCCTGCTGCTGCTGGAGCTGCTAGGGGTCCTGGAGCCACTGGTACCGGAGGTGCTCATACTGGAGGTACTGGAGCTGCAGGGCCTGGTGGTGCTATTGGAGCTGGAGCTGCTGGAAGTGCTGGAGCTGGAGGTGCTGCTGGAGCCGGTGCTCCTGAGGGTGCTGGAGCTGGAGCTGCTGGAGGTGCTGCTAGAGCTGGAGGTGCTGCTAGAACTGGTGGTGCTGCAGGAGTTGGAGCTGACGCTGGGGGTGCTGTCCCTGCCCCTGCTGGTTTTGGAGGCGCTGCGCGGCCGCGACCGTACTTTGTTCCGCTCCTTGAGCAGGTTCTTGGTCTCCCGCCTTCTACTGGTCCTGCTCCTTCCTTAAAGACTCTATTGCCTATCCAGCCGCAGTCGCAGTCACAGTTACAGCTACAGCCCGCCTCCCCACTGCTTGCTCCTTCTCCTTACACTGGTCCGACCGGAGGTCCTGCTAAGCGTCGTGAGC